TCTAACCTCTGGTAAGGCTTCAGCGGAGCCTTGGATATATTAGCCAGCATTTCTTGAAATATCATCCTAGCGTTCGTCTTCAATCTTCCTTTCCAGTTGAACCTAAGACCCAGATATTTCACTGTGTCCGTTGGTCCAAGACACTTCACTACCTCCGATCCGACCTGGAGTGACCCAGGCACAATAGCTAGCGTTTTATGTTTGCCTGACCTCTCTACTATCATAACTGCGCTTTTAGCGCCATTCAATTCCATGCCTGCAGCTGTTAAGGCTGAGGCTAATCTATCCAGTTTTTCCTCCAGCTCTAATCGAGATGGAGCCAACAACACGAGATCATCGGCATACGCTAGTGCCCCAACTCTTGTGCCCTCTAGATCATACCCAAGCTCTGGACGGCATTGCTTCACCACTTCCTCCATTACCATCATAAACAGCAGGGGAGACAAGGGGTCACCCTGCCGCACTCCACGCTTGGACCTTATGTCCTCACCGTTCAGGTTCACAATCCCATCCGAGTATAGGCGTCTAAGATAATGCACAAGGGGCATCGGGGCTCCATGTGCCTGGGCCACTCGTAAGATCGTATCGTGGGAGACTCTATCAAACGCCTTCGATATATCCAAAAAAGCTACCGCTATCGGCCTAACCGTCTCATGCACCGAGTGCAGGATGGCGTTTAGCAAACTCGAGGCTTCCAGACAACCGTCGCGCTCTTGAAAAGCAAATTGGATGCCTTCTAGTTTAACCACCTTTCGCCACCGTCGGAACAGCAACTTATGCAACAACCTAAGGACCACCGAAGAGATAGCTATAGGTCGGTAGTCCCCCGGGGACGCAGGGGACACTGTTTTAGGGATCAATGAGATCCTCGCCCTAGAAAGGGTTTTGGGTGGAAGCTCGGTCACTAAACATAAGTTCAGCAACTGTGCCAGAACACTCGGGTTCCACGTTAGCAGTTCCCGGGCATCCTTTTTATCCATCCCTGGTGAAGACCCCACTGATTCTCTCAATGCTCCCGTGACCTCGGCACTAGTTATTGGGCTTAGTATGCTCCATTCCTGGGCAGTGGTTGGCGCCGGTCGTGCGTCGAGATGAGCTTCCGCTCCCAAGACCCCTTTCCAATAGTCCATCATACCTTCGGGCTTGGCCTCGACACATTTCCAGAGTTCCTTCCACTGTCCATCAAGAACACACTTCGCCGCTTCCTTCTTCTTCCTTTTATATAAACTCTGCAATCGGGCATAAGTCACTTTCCGTTGCGCCTTCTTCGACTTGGGAATACCCTTTCGCATTACTCCCCTGTGGGGAGTCCAGACTACAGGAAACATCTGTTCAACCACACTGGTCAGGCGCACTCTCGTCTGATCTACATTCAACTCACCAGAGTCCGGTTGCTTCTTGGCTAGCCGCACGCCATCCGCAATGCATTCCAACATTGATCTTCTCCAGTTAACATAGTCCACGTTCTCTACAAAGCGGCCATCGGCCACTCCCTCATCATCCGTAGTGCTTTCACACCCCGGAGTCTTCGGAAGCAGTTCAGGTCGCTGCTCCACCTTAGCTCTATACTTAGATATGCCATACCATTGCATCTTTATTAGACGCTTCTTTACTGCTTCTGCTGACCTACCAGCGAATTTCGCTGCTAGTGCAGCATACAACTCCGCTTTCTTAGGGATTGAGCTGGCCAATTCATCGGCTAACTGTACAAGTTTTGCCGACTCAAACTCACTCCATTCGCCTCTCCTACGTGGGAGAAGTTTCAATCTCTCCTCATTCAGTGCGATCGGGTGCCTATGACGCTTGTGCTGTCCGAGGCCCCTAGCGGTCTTGTAAGACAACCCGCATACATCACACACAAACCTACTAACGCCCCTATCACTGTCATGCAATCCCAGCTCTATACTCACCGGTGGATCAGTCCGGCTGTGAAGATCCTCCACTTGGTAACCGGTACTCGTGGGTGTACCGGAAGTAATTTCAGAGGTAGAAGGTTTCGGAACCAAGTGGAAAACGCCGACAAGGGTGGTTGGCCCCTGACGGGTTGTCTGGAGTTTAGCTGAGAATGGATCAGCGCTTTTCAGGGCTCACCCTTCTAACCCCGACGGGAACCACGAGGAGGTAAACAGACCATGTTAGCATGCCCCCCGATTAAGAGAGTCATAGTTACTCCCGCACTCTAGACACACGCCACCGGCTTGGTCCCTATCTTGGCGGTCTCATATGTTGATTTTAGCGCCGTTGTAGACTTAAAGATCAGGCATTAAGTCAAGACATTGCTGCCATACGTGGGAACGGACGAGCTGCTAAAATCAACGGTGTGCACTTCGGGTGGGCGCGGGACTGCATTTCCCATAGATTGAACCCGGGATATACCGCATGGCGATCTGTACTTAGCGATGTTTCGACTTGATTCTGTTCACACGATGATGATCTCCGAAAATTTTTTTTCTAGCATGAACAACGACCCAGCACACCTAATCGCTCAGTTTGTTAAGGCATCTCAGGCAGATATCGCAGGTATTTTCTAGAGGCTTTGTGCACTGAAATCAGTAAAGAGCCGGACTTACTAAAGGCAGTATAACTTGATATAATGCGTGGAAAACAGACTCGAAACACGATAACCCAAAGAGCTTTCAGTGGTGAATTACATCAGGTTGATATAGGATTGAGTGGTGGATGACGGCGAGGACTTTCCAACTAACTGACTTACTAGCTAACCAAACTAAGCTGTAGCTTTGAGGCTTACTTTCCTCTACGAAGGCTGCGTTGTTTCAGTTGTATGGTGTTTATAGTACTGTGATTTAGCCATTAGCGCTCCAACCCTACCCGTCTATCGCATGCACTAGCGATGACATTGTATTTCGATGTGTACGTCGATCTTATCCTCTTCATCATCTTTCATGCTATCTAGAAGACTTGGATTTGCCTCATCACAGTTCATGCAGCATTCCCGAATGGTTATCCCATCCATGTGCATGGAAGTGATTCCAAGTACTGGATACTGGCTGACTCCGTTTGGTACATTGACAACTGTAATGGCCTACTGGTCGTCACAGATTAAACAGACCCCTGTCAATCTCATTTCCTCTTTGTAATGCACTACTCATAAAGTTGCTGAAAACTCCTCGACAGCCCACGACCTGATGAGCCCCAAGAAGGGCGAAACGGGTCGTGGGCTGTCGAGTAGTTTTCAGCAACCTTATGAGTAGTACACTACAAAAATATATGCATCGCGATATCCCGTATATGGTAGCGACTGAAACATGAGGCAGCCTGGCGCAGCACATTCAGTTGCCTGGAAACATCACAAACGAGAGATTCAGCTGAATTCCAGATGAGTCTCTCGAAAAAAACAAATTGGTTTGCAAATGAGTGCATATTCGCTAACAGGTGTGCTCAGTCTTTGAGCCTAACATCTGAAATCCGTTCTATTGTCAAAGCGATCACCCTTATTGGGGCTCATCAGTTAGGCGCAGTCCCCGAGTTTCTGTCAACCTTATGATCTACTTGAGCCCGCATTGGACTGTTTTCGACAAATACACTCATTTGCAAATCAATTTGGTTTTCACGAGAGACACAACTGAATCTCTCGTTTATGATGTTCTACAACTGAATATGCTGCACACAGGTCGCCTCAGGTTTCAGGTGGTACAATATTCGAGATATCGCAGTATATTTTCATGAAGGAAAATACTCACAAGGTTGCTGAAAACTCGTCGACAGCCCACGACCGGTGTCGCCCTTCTTGGGGCTCATCAGGTAGGCGCAGTCCCCGAGTTACCGTCAACCTTATGTTCTAATCGAACCCAAATTGCACTGTTTTCAAGAACTACACTCATTTGTGATGGATGAGCCCCAAGAAGGGCGAAACGGGTCGTGGGCTGTCGAGGAGTTTTCAGCAACCTGTTCGATTTAATCTGTGCATCGTGCGTACCTCCAGACCGTATTGAGCAGTAGCCAATGTTCGACCGAACTGCTCGTCAACGGATTCGGTCGCATTCTCTGCATCGCTTATTTCGTTCCTGCGATTCAATGAGCCTTTTGTGTTCGCCAACTTCTACGCTCCAGCATCTGATTAACCGAATCGAACCTCTTCCTGGATTCGTTTGACGCAGCCTGATTTGGGTGGGTCTTCACGACTGCTACTATGTGGGGCAAACATTAGCTGTCCACTCCAGGGGTACACCCACGCGGAACTACGTATCCAAATTTACAGCAGTCCTCAAAGGCACTCATTCTCCAGTCATCAGTTCTTACCATACAAACGCTGTTAGTGCCTCCTTGAGGATGGATTTGTAATCACAGGACTGAATAGTCATGTCGTAAAAATTATCTTGAATAATACCCACCACCTGTGATGAGGTGTGAATCTACTTGACGACAGGACTTCCTTATGTTTCAGTTCCGTCATTAAAAGGCATACACTTCCAATTATCCATGTTTACAAAAGGACGGTAGGGGAATCCAACTGTTTTGTTACTTGTTTCACCATTTCTGTGTTTCAGGACGATGCTATGACTCGCAAACCTTTGCTTGATCTGGACACGGATACCGATAAAACGTCATTCAATGAAGGGAGTACAATCGCCATCTCTGATTCTACACTAGATCGCCATGTTCGTCGTCCAATGAATGCCTTCATTCTGTTCTCCATGCGACATCGGGCTGAAGTCCATCGACTTTATCCAAATAAAGACAACCGTGTTGCCAGCCAAATTCTTGGAGAGTGGTGGTACAGAATGGCGACGGAAGAAAAGGCACATTATCAGAAACTAGCTAAAGAGGTAAACCTCATATACTCTGACTATTCGGCTGTTTATTTGATCTGTTGTTGTGCATGATATGCAAGTCCCTCCTTCAGGGGTAATTTAGAACAATGTTTGACCGGACACACCAAGGTCTGCGTTTCTTGCGAAGTCTTCTGTAACACGAAGTTGGTTGGTATAGTCGAATGGCGGTCGCCTCAATCACGGCCAGTGCGTTCCGTGTGATGACCGCGGGTCGATTTGGGGGCACTCGACAGAACGCACTGAACGACTCAGTCGGATTGATCCGGTAGTTCGTATCCACCCGTCACGTGCTTCGCTTGTCGTTTTCCACCTCAGATGGCATGTGCTCAGCATTTATCTAAGATGGGCGGTGAGTCGTCAGACCGACATAGTTTGTGCAACATTCGAAGATTATGCTTTCATGGGATAGTTGGACCAGAACCTTCTTCTTAATGTTCCTGTTGTGCTTAAGTGTGTCCCCAAGTGAGCAGCATTGGACATTGTGACTGCAATCGACTGAATAATGAAGTAAAGACTAACGAAGTGAACCAATACACATTCATTTTTGTCACTTACAGCGTTAGACTGTCAGCTGCTTCTACCATCAGTGACCGGATGTACTGTGACAAGTTGGTACCCCAGGTTCTGGCCTGTCTGTTGTCTGTTACGTATTCCTTAACTACAGAGCTTTCATCATCTGCTTCGGGAATGCAGACAGACACTACTTTCGGCCTGACGTAAATTGGAAAAAAGAAAAATGAACAAATGAACACCCTCACGTCTCTTTAAGAGAAAAATTATCTGGTCAAGGCTTCATTTTCACCTCAGATATGGTGAATTGGTCAACATTTCGACCTTTTTAGGTACTGACAGGGCTTTCACATTCACAGCGAAATCTTTTTGCCCACTGGAAACAGCTGACCAGGCGCAGGTGCATTGAAATAACCCTCTAGGGGAATCTCTCAACATTTTAAAACCCTGTTATGTATCTTTCAAACAAAATGAATTGAGAGTGATCCTGAAAAAAATATCACCTTTTGAATGAGGTAACATCTGGTTGTATTCGGATAAATATTCTGCCTTGCCTTAGGGAGTACGAGTTTCCTATTAATCAAACTGCTCCAAAAAATGAGTATTTCAAACCTCAGCTGAAGCTTGGGGTAAAACGTTCGTTGGTACACACTAACTGCTTGCATTCTTGCTGATAGACTAGACTGTTTCCCGACTTTCTTTGCACTCCTCATACACAGCTCAAGACTGCTCATTTTCACTACTATCCCAATTGGAAATGGTCATCCCCAAAAGAAAGGCGCAAATCAGCCCCGCTATCCCGCCATGACACAGACCGGCCGAATTGGATGACGGAGCAAGTTTCGCCTCCTGTTTCAGATGCTCGCTGTGTGACTCCCCGGGTAGCAACTGATACTTGTACTCCGACACTCCGCTCAAACGTCGATAAGAGTTCCCCGACTGATGGGGTCCGTGCTGTTCCTGTGCTGAGTGACTCTGATCTGGATATATGTTCGAGGGATATGATTGTACAAGATTTAGCCACCACCAAAAGACCCAGTTTACCAACTTTTTCAAACCCACCAACCGGTTTGGAACTTCTAGCTCACGCGGTGGAATATTTAAACGTTCTGGAATCCCTGAGGGCGACGAACTCCGACGAATCATATGATCCAGACGTCCAGCTTGGACGTCTGGCCTGCGACCCAGCAGCTGAAAACCGGTTACAGCATATCCAACGGTCTTCACAGACAGGTCAGTGTCACTACTGCGTGCTTGACTTCAATATCTGTTTCCAGTTTTTCAACTTTTTGATCACTGTTATATCCCGCTCATTCCAGCTCCGGAGGCACAGTCGAACTCCCTCATTCAAAACGAGGCCAGCACGTCTCCGGTAGCATCCCCAACACCATCACGCAGCCAAAAAACCACTTCCGTTGAATCATCGACCCATGTTGACACTTGTGGTGATATCTGTCCGAAGAAAGAAGTATGTGGTATTGAAGGCCTGGCTGAGTGTGGGTCCATCTCTTCATCGAGCATCTCTACCTGTGAGCTTCCTACTTCTGAACTGACTCCCTTAAACACAGCACGTGTTACCGTGTAAGTTATCCCCATACGTATCGTCATTACTTGTTGATGCCTCAGTCCTATCGTGTCTTTGGTCAACATGGTGGTTGATTTGGCGGTGACCCACAGTTTCGAAGTAACGGGTTTGAGCAGTTTTGGGCAGAACTGACATTCTATACTTCGAATCTGCACCACATGATCCAGCTGGCGCAACTGTACTCTAAGGGAATCAGTGCGGTCTATGAACTGTTTGGAAAAATGAGAGTAGGCTGCGATGGCAGCTTCGACAACATTCCCCACTTGGTTACAGCCAAGACGCTCCGTAGATGTTCTTCTGAAGACTGATAAGAACAAGATTGAACGCCGCCTATTTATCACCGAAATGACCCTATTCGAGCGAGAAAGCAAACGCTGTTGTTTATTAGACAAAATACCGATGTTCTATGTCTCAAGCAGCAGTTTACAACACGGACAGGGTGGAAAAGTTCCATACACATCCTTAAGAATGGAAAAGTTTGCTCATCGGGAACCACCCTTTGCTTACGAAATGACACTGCGGTGAATACCAGACACTTGTGTACGTCCTTGTCAGTGCCAAAGTCTCAATGTATTGGTATATCAAACGCACAGGAGGCCCAGGTCGTAACTTAAACGGACCGACTACCACTATGATCCAGGATAGCAAGGCATCCTTTTGAGCCACGTGTCTTCTCCGGCTAGAGAGTGGGAAGGATAACGTGTTCACGTGAACTGTTATACCAACACTTCCCATTCGGTCATAAGTGTTGACGGACATATGATTTCAGTAATTTCTCCTCGGGCCATATAAGTATATAAGTTAAAACTTTGAAAATTACCTCTAGGACACCCTACAGCTTGAGTGCAAGCTACTAGAGAATATCCTGAGCTAAACTGCTTCCTCGAGAATTTTATATTGCGTAATATGCGCAGTTTGTCACCAAAATCTCAGGTTGTCATAGCAGAGAAGAAGCCGGTTTACCTTAGCTTGCCATACAAGGACAATTCGCAGACAGGCTGCCTCAAAGTCATAGCCAAAACATTTTCTGTCTTCACTTGTAATGTCTGGCTTACAGCCGGACTATGAATCACCGAGTGCCAGCCCAAATCATGCCAGTATACTTCTCACGCAGCTGTGCTGTCGATAGCTCCCTAAAAGAGTGAGGAAACACATGCCGTCGAACCTTAGCGGCGGCAACATGATATCGGTGAGCAATACTGTTGACGACTGCCTCATCGACATACCGCAGCATACATCCCACTGATTTTTTCGGACCTTTCTGAGAGCACATTCACATAAACCCAAACGGCTACTCTCGCATTATCTCTGAAATAGGTGATTGCTTTCATATTATGTGACCTTATCGCACCTACACAACGACCACTATCACCCCCGCACTGTCAACATCCGAAGACCATCCTGTTAGTGACTTCAACTCAGTTCTATGATCCTGGTGCTGACCGCTTACGTTCTCTTGTGGTATTTTAGCTATTTTACTTAGTATTTCAACATTTTAACGTCTATAATTGTATGACCCAATGAGAACTAATCAACACCAAATGACATGTTTCTTCTCTGCTCATGTTAATAAATGTATCAACCACGTTGAGCAGCTAGTCTTTAGGTATGGGGTTTGGGTTTGGTCTCACCCACGTTTGAGATTTAGCACACATCAAACCACGTGGGTGAATCGTTTAGGTTATTAGACTGAATCACTTCATGAGCATTTCGACCCTGAGGTTTCAGAAGCGGCCAGTGGAGTTTTAAGCAGTATGCCTATGGGGAAGTTGTAGAGGAACTTTGGGAAGGTGAGTTATATCTCACATCACTAGGCGTGGTAAACTCAGAATGAAAAACTCACCGTTCGCCTGTATTCTTCCATGAGAGTTGGCGTACGGTGCTTTTAAGAGAGATGAAAACTGGAAAGGGACACCTTTGATCACCAGTCACCGCCGTAGTTTCTGATGATGGACATAATCGAATGCAGCCTCCCGCCTTCTATTCAAATATCCAACGTATATAAAGGTCTAGTATTGGGCACAGTTGTCTCACTTTAAGTGCTACTGCACTTAGCGGCTTCTTTGGGATCGATATTTGGCTCTCAGTGGGTTTTAATTGCTTCTCAGCCATGTTTAATAATCCGCCGGAGGACACCGTGAGCCTTTCTTGATCGGCGTTTGCGGTTTTTAGGCTAAAACCCTTTTAACCCGCCTTTCCTTCGGTGAAGACGGTGTCAGTGTTCGCATTAAGATCGGCATGGTAGTCACTTTACACTCGTATAACAGGGAACAGACCACCGCCTCATGCGATTGCTGGTAGTATGAGACCACACGGTGACCATTTGGTGGAAGGTCAGTGATCCAGGTTTGCCGTTACAGCGAAAATCGATGAAAGAGTAGTTTCTGGCTCCTGAAAACGTTCACTTTTTGAAATAAAATCACGTTTCTGTTGGTGTCCAATATGTCGGAATATTGTTAGCTTGCGTGCACCAGCTGGTTGTAGGTCAGGTGACTGTTGATCTGTTGGCCGAGCTTGGCGATTCGCTTGCAGGCGTTTCCTCACCTGTTTTGGGTACATCATTAGTGCGTGGACGCCCGGACGCCTTTCTGAAACCTGCGTTTGCCGTTCGGATTCGGCTGATTGTGATTAGTTCCTGATTGGTTCGTCAGTTGCTTTCATACACTTCTTTCCATGTTCAGGTGTCGTACAATGCCTTTTGTAGTCACATCCACTGACTTCATCATTACTCTCTCCCATAATCGCATTTCAGCAGTCCTATTCTGAATTATTCCCTTGATTTGGATATTTCGCGAATAAACCACTCACTTGTCACTGCAATGAAATAGCCAACACTGTAGGTTCCTTTGTCGTATTGTATGCAGAAAATGCTTATCAGCCAAGGTAACCAGCCTATTTCGTTTCTGGAGGCCCTTTTTTGGGGAACAGCCTATGTTGAGTAATGCGAGTAGACTTTGGGCGTGGTCATTTCGATCTGGTTCTAGATATGGCCTCTCCTCTTCTGACGTGAACACCATTGTAACTTGAAGTGAATATATATTTCACAGATTTGGTCAGTTCCTGTACGTCATCCGACTCGATTGACTCAATAGCTTCAAGTTGTATAGTAGCGAATGGGTTGTAGAAACAAAAAAATGGAGTAAAGTTATGGGGGAGTAGCTTGTTCGGAAGCTAGATGTTCCCGAAGTCCTCAACCACTGTCATTGAAGTTGGCTTACGGTTTGAGCAGTCCGCTTTAGGGTGAATACTTGCCGACCTCGGCATAATGATTTGTGTTGCACATTCCATCAGAAAAAAGGCTAAGTAAGGCTAACGTATGGATTAGAAATCACCCGAGCACTATACATCGGCGATATTAGGAGACCATTTGCCTATAGTAGTATGAAAATGAAGTTTAAACCCACCGGATCCGCGCTATTCTTCTAAGTCGGAAAGTTGTTCGATAGAAATCATTAACGAAAAGTTTATAGTGTATTTGGAACAGAGTAATGACGTAGTCCTTTACAATAACCCCGTTTGTATGGCTGGTTTTTAAAGTAGTTGGATTCTTATGTACTGATCTCTGATATGAGCGAAGATACCATAACTAGAAGGTAGGCGCTGTTTTTTCTGTCTACAGTTCTCCTTTCCTAGACCTTCATTCGAATCAGACGTTAGTGTTACTCGATTTATTGTAACCGATTCTGTTCGTCAGCCAATTTCCACGCACACTTTCCCTTCTAGACCTGATGATGGGACACAACCTGTTTCAGCGCTACCCATCCGTACAACTACAGATGGCGCCAAGGTCGTAAATAGACCGGCTATGGCCAAACTTTGTTGGCTAACTCTCCCCACGCCTTTGTTGACTACGGGCTGTGTTCTTGTCGGAGGTTCGAAATCCCCCACACCCAATCTCCTACTGCCGGACGAAAATTCCACTCACAGTCTGTCCTCAAATCGGCAACCAACAGTTGGAAGCTCATCAGCAAGTGAGTTCCGCTCCAGGTTTTTCTGGCATAAGATATCTAAGTTCACTTCTAGGTGGATGCGAGATTTGTAAAATCCACATCACCGTCCCTCGTGTTTGAATAATCGTTCTTGTCAGCCACACCGAAGAGAGGAAGCAGTAGACTCGAGCTCCTCATCTGTACAAATCCTTTTTCAAGTTCAAAACCACATCAACTCAAAGCGAGGCAACTTTGTTGATACGTTCCTCATAGAAATGGCCTTTTGTGTTTGACACTATGAAAAGCGATGCCACCTACCCTGTGTATTCCAACCACTCTTTTGAGATAGTTGGTAATCATGGCATCAGTCGAAACCACATCGTTTAGCTGTAGTACCCTTCCGGTGTCTAACTGCCATGCCATCTGAAGGCTGCACGAGGATTGGAATACTGCCAGGTTGCCCAAGCCTAGACAGGGAAAGTCGACAGACAGAGATCGGTTTCGACCACAGACCTTCCGATAATTCGCACTCTAACCACCTGGGCCATCTCGTCCCAGAAACCACATCAGCGAGACAAGTAGTATCATTCCATCAGCGACTTGGTCTTCTGTTTGGATGAACAAACAAAGAATCATGCTGGACATCAAAGACGAACTGTTCGTCGAAAGTCTCGTGAGGAATACCTGCAACGTTGAAAACACGAGATTAGCCGACAATTTCTCACTAGTCATTAGGGAATTCCAGGGTCGCTGACTTGATTTAGCAGGATATTTCAAACGAGCTAGTGGAGTTTGACGCTGTACTTAGAAAAGCAGCGGAGATCGAGCTTCCAAGTTGACCCATACAACTAAACATCTGTGTATCGTTCAGTGCTGCTGTGCTTATCGGCACTTTAATCTGCCCTCAGTCGACTAATGTTTACTCACTGGACAAAGTCAAACGTACTCATATGTTCATGTCGAACTTGTGTTCAGCACAACGTGGGTCATAAATCTAGTGATTCTCTTCCCCCATCACACAGGTTGGAGCGGAATATACTCTGCGACAAAGATATAGAGTTATTCGTGTTTTCGTTAGGTGTCCGCTGTGAGTTGATTGACTAGTCAGTAGGTAGTAGTAAGCTAAGAAAGTTGACTCACGAGGTAATCAGATGTTATACGAAGATTCGGGCATAAAATTGCAACTAAATGGAATAAAACGGGGGGTCAGCTCCCGTTCACATCCAAAAGTTTTTCTGGCGATTACTTTTCCGCATACACAGAGAAGGTGTTCAGTCGACATGCCGGTAAATGCTCGTTGGTTCCTGTTTGAGGGTGTCTGGTAATTCATTTTCGGAGCTCTAACCCTTAACAACTTTGTACACTTGACACACCTGTATGCCACAGAAGCTCGAATGGGTTTGGGATCCGCGCTTGCATACTGGTCATTTCAGTCACGAAACTGAAGTTAGTTTTTTTGTAATGTAAGAAATGTCCCTCGCTGTCCCATTTTGTTAAGGTGACATGTCTTCATGCCTAACACTGACATTTGGAAACTGTAGGTACCAGTTCGTGTCTTCATTCATGTCTCGGAGTCTTAAACGTTATTCAGCCTTTCTACTCCATTCATTCAGCAGACTGAGAAGCTAGTCCAAACAGGTACAGAGAATTTCATGTTTTTTATGAATAAAAATTCATTCCATATGCCCGAACATCTCACGAGTATTATGTCCACGCGTTCGGTCCCTCACTATATTACTTTTTTGCCGATTGAGTGCAGACACTCCACCTGACACTATTCCACGTCACAAGTAAGTGATTTCCAGTCTTAGGCCATGGCAGTCCGACGCACATCTTCAACTTCAGGATTACTTCAATCTTGATCAATCTCTGCACCGTTCTAGTCGACGTATCGCTTTCTGCTGTGATGCGTTCGTAGCTTATTTGGTTGCAAGCGTTTCTTCCCGTTTTTAAAGCATCCCGGTGACATCGTTTTCTTTTCTTCAAGGCATTGACACTTTCTGGAGGTCTTTCTGTCTTTCTTTCAGGGTCTTTCTGCATCTCTTTACGCTATCATCTATAATATGTTGCATTTTGCGGGAGGTTATGATCATTCTCTCCCCTCAATAAGGCACTTGAGGTATTTGAGGCTCGTTACCTCTGTGCCTAATTTCATCAATCTGAGGATCCTGAATCTCTGATGAATCGAGGCTGTTAGAACCCTGCTAGTGGTTAGAGAAAATTAAGATTCGGACCAGCAACTGATATCTTAGTTTGTCCGATTAACTGGGCGACTAGGTCGCAAATCTCTCCTCGGCAATCTGGTTGGCATCGTTAGGGTATTTTTGTGAAGTGAAAAGAAGGACAGCTGTTTGTCAGTTGATGTGTTTGCATCGACGCACTCCCCTGATTCATAGCAATGCGCTTATGGTCCCGTCTAGATTGGTACTGAAAAGTTCGCAACGTTATTGCTCAACGCAGCGAACCAACCAACGAGCAAGCACTTAACTGGAGCTGCTAATTCAACGGTGAATACTACTGATGTGGCATGCGAGTAGTATGTTTTTTCGTGATCCGCTTCGCTTTCGTGAATCCGCTTCGCGCCTCTTGAAAAGTGAAATCTGTTACAGAATTTTTGGAGTCGCTTCGTAGCATTTGCTTGGATTTGAGCAGCAGTCAATGAATATCCAGGAAGGCTGAGGAAGGTGCGTTCAAGGAGAAGATGGATATTCAGTTCTTGTAAGCAAGATGTATATGAGAGCTGCTTCCCTGTCCAAAAATCTGTACGATATTTACCTGTGCAATAGATACATTGGTTGACAAAATACCGAGAAAATGCCTAGGTCTTTGCATGGTCGGTTTTATGGTTCATCAAATACAAGAACTTCGATCCAGAAGACATGTTGAGGAGCTACAGAATCTTGACCGTGTGGCTACTGTGCTTGTTCTTGTTTCATATTCAGCTCGGGATTTCCTGAATCGTTGAATCATAGTTATGCTTAATACTGCAATTCGAGGGAGAATGATTATTATTCACCATTTTGGAGAGCTTGTTCAATTCGTGGGATCATGATTATATCTGGGTTGTTTCATGGTAATGTGGTCCGAACACATATGTTGAATAAGATTCACACTTTTCTTATTCGCCCTCTAGGCTCGAGTGGTTTCATTTATCTGAAGCCGGTTATTCAACTTGTTCCCACCTCACAAGTCGTGTCTGTTAATCAAGCTACAGACAGTACATTGCTTCAGCCTCAGTCTCGCCCAGTCACTTTCGCACCCACGTCAATATCTGCCCTCCCAACATCACCGCCCGTCATTCTGAACTCCATTCAACAACAAGTTCGAACCACTGATATAACGTCCTTTGAAAAACGCGAATCAGAACATAGTTCCGCTCCGCCGACACCTGTCTCCACCAGCGTTACTACATTGATCAATTCTCGTACGATGAGCTCATCTCTTCGTCTAGAGCTCTCACCTGCAATCAATGAGGGATTAGGAGAAGGATCTCGGTTTTCTTCTAAGCTGATGGCTGTGGATCCAACTAATACTATCACAGAAGTGAGTACTGACAAAGTAAATCATAAATCATTATATAATGTTTGATAGGCACCGGCTAACACGCACTGTAATCTTTGATTCTTTTCAGGAAAAACTCTCCGAATCCACCATCCACAATGGAAAAGAGGGCTCTGGCGGCTTGAACAGTAGCTCACCTTTGCTCTCTCCGGCATCGGATGCAGCGGACTTTAGTCCACTCGACAAACCTCATCTATCCGCCCGGTGTATGAAGGTTAGACCTCCGCCGTTGGATCTGTCTCTCGCCTTGATGAAAGATTCCCATGAAGAAGATGAGAATGTTCCTGAGAGACATATTTCTGAGGTCAACAAGCGAATCAATGGGTGCGGCACAACGCGGCGTCCATTCTCTGCCAGTCTATGTAATCGAGGACCGAAACGCAAGCCTGATTCCGCAACCGAAGTGTGAGTGTGTGATAGCGGCGTACTTGTTCAGTTCATGGTGCTCCATTGCGGTATTTCACCCTATTGCTGAGTCCGACTGTCGTGCAATTGCGTTGCGCAATGGGAATAACTGAACAGCAACATTTAGGCGGGAATGGATAGTCAGGTGGCCAACTAGTAGCGGAGTGTTGTCATCTCGTAGTAAGACAGTAGATTTGCGCGAGTGTTAGCTGGAAATCGAAGCAGACCCACCTTTGGCAGAGTTTCATCCTACGAAACAACCCACCGGCGTCCTCATTGAGTTCAGAGTGATGACGTTAGCGGCCGGTCAATCCGATTCTGCTCAAGCATTTTGCCCCGCCAGTTGCACAGATCCAGATGACTGGTGTTTTGTTCCACATTGTACGTCCGTTTTTCGTGACGCGATGGCATTTTGGCGTTCAGATACATTATCTCTTAAAGCCCGAACAGTCAGAATTTTGCCAGCTGTCAAATTTTTCTGAAGTCCAAGGCCGGGGTCACGGATTACATGAAAACTGTGAAAATCATGGATCTTTGACCGTTCGTTTTTCGTCACCTATCCAGTCCACATGATTGTGTATCAAGTTTCACTCCATTCGATTGGTTTTAATTCGCTTAGGAAGTTTAACGTTCGTGATTCGATCTGACCGCTGAATTCGAAATATTTTGCACAGGCATTGTAGATGAAATTTGTCAGACAGTCTAGTGTACCGTCGGTATGGTGTCTAATTACAATAAGGAATGCAATAACACATTGCGACAGGTTGTGTTTGCCCGAAACGGTATGGGCAACCGAATGCTGTACTTGAATTGTTAAATCGAGAAGAGTTCAGCGTCAACTCTGTGAAAAGGGGTTTCCGTTAGTTTGAGTACATGTTGTGTGTTACTGCAAGCCTAGGGGAAGGCTGATAAAAGGCAAGCGTTTCAATGGAACTTGTACTTCTATCAAGCCTAGATACTCCCAAAGCAAACGCTGTAGTTACTAGCTTGATCTCCTCCGAATGTACAAAAGGGATGCAGTCATCATCGGATCATTGACTCGTGCAGTTTGTCTTTGATCATCAAACATTCGGAGTTAAGGGGGTGATCGCCCTGACGACACTGGGTCGGTTAGTCGTCTTCGGTATCAACTAATGATTCCGTTGGGCGGTCGCAGTCAGGTGCTGCCAGGGCCGACAAGCCTATCCCACGCAAGATTGGCCGGGAAGATTGCCGGTCCGGCATCACACTGAGATCCGATTGGTCGAAAGTCTGGACCCAACAGTCAATCGTGACCCAGTATTGGCTGAATGCCGGTTGCCAATGGCGCATCCAGAGTGCGTCAGAATTTGCAGAAAGTTTTGGTCGCTTACGCTGGTGCCCGTTTCATGCTCTGCAAAAGTGGTTCCACGGGTACGCACTCGAACCCTGGTATGACATGCGATGCCCCTGTTCGCCGAATTAAAGACTCATGAATTTCGTAAACCTAGCGTGTAACGTTCTCAGCATTTTTATTTTAGTTGACACGCTACAAAGATAATATCAGTCGTGTTGCGTCCGCTTTGGATTTTAGGGGTATTCGTTCCAGGACATTAGTATCAGGCGGCTGAGTTCAATGTTGCCTGGACTTTCTATGACGGAGAAGATTGTTCCGTCCACAAAGGCCTGTTTTCTGTCGACTTTCTTTGGATCTGGACAATGGTGTGAGGTTATTTGTTTTCGCGATTGTGGCGATCACGTGGAAATCTTCATCCTCTTATGTTTGTCCTCCCAATTTGCATATTTCGACGAGTGTTGCTTCTCCCCCGGTACCCTTCTTAGTTCATTTGTCGTCTTTCGAACTTCAGCTCTCGTTGGCGGGTATGGTAATGTCGTCTACACAAAAGATTGAGATGACCGTGGTAGATGGTTCAAATTTTTAGTAATATCGAGAAGTGGGCCTTTTAAGCAGCCAGTATGGTTTAAGACGTCACTTGTTCAGCGTGAGCTGTTCCATGCAACATCCTTCACCCAGCTGACCCAACCTGTTTAAGAAATAAGGGAGACCTTGGAGCTCTGAGTGACTTGATATACAATCAGCTTTTCTTATATACTCTGCGATGTGCATTTTCAGCTGCCTTTTAATTCCTGTAATATGGTCATTATCAAGATGTCTGCACCGAGACAGCATGTGTAAGATTTTCTGTGGTGATCGTTATGCTACTTTAGAACTAGTTTTTATGTATCTCCACTGCTGAATTCTAAATTAGTTTTTCATTTTGTGCACTGCTTGCCTGAAGGTCACTTGCAGCACTGTTTTCTGTCACAAGTACGGAACGGAGCAGTCGTACCGGTACAAGTAGTCGGCCTGCCTTTTAGGACGGGATTCCCGTCATTCCCTTGACGCTTGGCTGAAAACGTTGCAAGAAATGGCGGCTGATCGATGTCAGTATCTTTCCAGACTGTCTGATTAAGCGCTTGGAGATGTAGGCACCTGAGAATGCTTGACATGGACGAGCACCGGGTCCCCCTGGCCTCCCTGTCCCACTTTCCCTCTTCTTTTCGCTGCTGGAATAGGTTATTTTTCAGTCAAGTTTGGGACCGATTGGGTAGTCATCATTTCAGAAATGGCAACTCTTCACTTTTGACACAAAAGCCCCAAGTGAATAGATTACCAGGTTGTTCCAGTTCTAAGAAATTCAGGAAACCAAACTGTGTTCCAAATTCCTTACTGTCTAGTTTCTGCCGAGTCTTTGACTATCGCCTGATATTCATTGATGTTACTCGGTGGTCTGTTAATTCATAACTTATTCTCACCTATTCTGGTATGCAATTTCTTGGCTGTTTGACCTAAATAAACCTCTGAACGGTCGTCACATTTTATTCTGTATAGTTCCTAGTCCGATTAACTGAACGGCGATCCTTCAACTGCACCACTACTGAGGTCAAAGTCTTTCTCTTCTGGAATGCTACTCTAATGTTAGTCGCATTCGCCATCCCTCTAATGATTTCAGGTGTTTTGTGTTGATTGACTGCTGTTCCGATCCACTCCTTGTTGAGTTTTGGTGTTGGCACCAATACCCATCCTAATTACCGCCTAATTAGACCCATTTGGTATCCGCTGTCTTGTAGTCCCTTTCTTCACCTCAAGCTGTGCTGCCCCTTGGGTCGACCTCTTCTATTCACGATGCTTTCAATCTACGAAACATTGTTGAAACTGTACTAGCATATACTAGTTTTGGGTGTGTTTGGGAGTAGTTTAAAACCGCACCACTGTCTGTTGAATACCGGTGGATAGTGGTTTTTACTTCCCCCCGCTCTTGTGTGTCATGCAGTCAAGGAAAGGTAGTCTACTCGACGTGGACTCTAACTTCATGCTAAACTTGATGTGAGGGTCCAAAGTATAAGATATTGAAAGAATTCGTTAACGCTTAATCACGGTGAACGTGTCATTTACGGAACGCCAGAAAACCCTTGATGGACAGTCACATCCGCCTAAAGCGCGTATACAACTGAGTCAAAACAGAGTGACCAATGTTTAATCATATGCCTTCAACTATCTCGCCTCCGGAGAATTGCGTCTGTCAGTAGCAGCCTTCTTGCTACTTCCAGGATGTTCGCTTTAGGGACATTCGTGTACATCGAGTTGACGTCAAAACTAACAAGAACTTCGTATAGCTCCAACTGGAACACAGCTAATTTTTTAGCAGTCATACGTATTTTGGATGTGTGTGGGTGACTTAACGGCAAGCGGTTTATGGATACCTGCCAGAAATCTGGCCAGCTCATGTAGTGGTGAAACCATGCCATCCACTATTGGTCTCATGGTGACACCTTGCTTGGGATTTTTTTGTAACCCATAAAATGGTGATTGGATTGCACTTTTTGAGTACAATCGATGCCACTTACCCTACCCTTGAGGGTTTATCATCGATCCCAACTACCTTCCAGCTTCATCCTTATTCTTATTCATTATTGACGTGATCACCCCTTTACTAACTTGTTTCAGAGTCACTCTTATTAATGACGACCTTGGCCCTACCCTTATCTGCCTCTGTAATTACCATACTGTCTACATGTTTAATATCTTTAAAGTTTTTCGCTGTGCTGGTGCTGGGACTTAGGGAATGTGACCGAGTGTGTGCGTAATTTCTCCGCTCTCATTGAAGGAGGCTTCTGAAACGTGGCCTCGACACTAGAAATGATCTCTTCTGCTCTTATGACTCCTTTACTTACTGCACAATTCAATCCTTTCTCTAGCAGAAAACATTCTTTGTCACTTAAGGGCTTATCTGATAAATTTACTGCGTTATGCTAACCAGCAGATGGCTTCCTCTTTTCTGTTGGTTGTCTAGAACAACGAGCCGTGGAGTACAATGTTTTCCCAAACACGATCTTCATTCTGCACTTCCACCCGCGGATTTTTGAATTACTCGAGAATTCGAGAATAAGCGATGCATTATTAGACCATCGAGAAACGTAAATGAATATCAGGCGATAGTCAAAGACTCAGCAGCGGCAGGACATGTAGTAGGCACTGGGTGCAGGATAGATTTGGTAAATATGGACGGTTTGAGAAATTGCAGGTTTTTGATGATCCCTTGCCATAAAATTTCGAAACGTGAGGGAAGCCAAACCCAACGCAAACCTTACGGAGATTGTGAACAAGATCGGGAACGAGTATCTCACTCGGTCTATGTTCCCTAAGCAACTGCTCCCGATTTCTTGAAGGTACTTGTGGTTAGAATAGGTAGACTGTTGCGGGACTTTGGTCGTCCGTCCTGCGTTTAAGCTTAGAAGATATGGACGTTTACTGATTGACCTAGAATCTTTCCTACCCTGAGTTTTCTGCTTTTCCCTATAGGTTGATGGCCTCGATCGACATCCGTGATCGCCTGTCCAATCTACCTCCATTCCAACCTACTTCCGCTTCTCCAGCATCTAGGAAAGCTTGTTCGGCCGGACCTTTCTTACCTTGCGAGGTGACACACAAGCGTGAGTTTCGCCCATCCGTTTGATTGATTGTGTATTTGGATTCTTTCTCATTATTGACTGGTCCCAGCAATCTGTTGGACCACGTCGAGTTACGCGCAAAACCCCAAAGGCCAAATCTTTCAAATGAAGGTTTGTCTACAGATGCGGTACTATAAGTACAATAATAAAATGATAAAACTTCACAAACCTCAAATCGTGGGACTCTGCCGGCTTCTATACACCGTTTTAGGAACTGCTAATTCCTAACGGGTATCAAAGTCCACGCCTACTCGAGGCCACGTGTTTACAAGCTAGCGAAATCACGTATGAACTTAAACAACACATCCGATGGTAAGGTCAAAGAACTGTTTGTGGTCAGATGAAAAACAAGAGGGGTAGTATAAACAAAATAACAAGAAGCATGGAATCGCACTGTACAACATAAAAATAGAAGAAAGGAATACACACTTTTTTCCTCCCACAGATGTAGTACGCTTGCAGTATTTACATGTAACGAGTTATCATTGAAAGTTGTTGCTATCAACCAATACCTCAGTGCCCTTTCAGTGTGATACATAATTTCAATCTAGCCGTAATTGCTTTAGCTTAGATACAAACTGAAAAAAAAATCTGTAGAAAATCGAATAGCCGCCGGATAAGAATCATTCTAACGTCCATCTGCGTAACTAATTTTAGGTGGTTGCAGCATTTGTAGTGTGATACATGACTTTCTTTTGGCCAGTCCTGTTCTGACGTGCGTCCGGCACGCGCCTATGGAGTGGTGATAACACACTCTTCTGGCGTTTCCGAGTCGGGATTAAAATCTTGGCACGCCGAAGGATATGCACCACTGATGAACGAAAGTGGATTTGTTGGCTTACACGAACCAGATTCCGGTTTTATAGACGTAATGCTCTACTCATAAGGTTGCTGAAAACTCTTCAACAGCCTGGGATTAGGAAAACCATAAACGAGGGTTCCAGCTGGGTTCCAGGTAAGTATGTCGTCAAAACCAGATGGGTATGTAGATGACTGTATAAGTCAGATTCTTGTTGGTTTTGTGAATGCTTGCGTAGAGTGTACATCATCATTAGTGATTTCTCTACAAACCAGTATCCTAGCTTTCCCATGGCTAATTCACCAGCAGCACTGCGGATTTCAAAAGGTTCTATACCGATATTATTGGACATGCATTCATGTTAAGCCAGCCGCTCTGAGACAACTGGAATACTTCACCTCTCGCACAATTGATCTACGACAATAATGCGTTTTTTCATCACTGAGGCTTTCAAATATCATGATTTTTCGTCCTCACACCGTTTGTAATTTTCCTATTGGTTTTGATACATGGGGTTTAGTTTTTTTTCAAGGAGTCACATTAAATTGACAATATCCACATGATGAGTCGTTTCCCTCCCTTTTGTTCAGGGCTTAGAACAAAACTCCCGAACGATCAGTTTCCTGTGACTACGAATGTAGCCCCTTTGGTGTCGAATCACACTAGTGCAGTAAGTTGACGATTTACTAGAGCTGACAGCACCTCGTTTCGTGTATGCTATCATATCTTAATCAGTCTTAATTCGTTTTTTTACTGAACCTTCCTTGTTAATGTTTGGTCAGATCCATTGACGGTGCGCGATTTCCCCTGGCCTCTTCTCTCTCGTTTCGTAGGATGATAAGCGAACTGTGTGCTTTTCTCAATCTGTTTGTAAAATTAAAGGTTGAGATTTTGGAATGCAATGCATGGCCTGGCAGAAGAAACTGAAATGTATCACGAAACGTTTGGGAGCTCTTGATGCAAGCCACTTTCTGTGATGAGGTCCCCTGCGCTTGGCCAGAGATAGGTAGCAATGGTGCTTCTATCTAGGTTGTCCTATTGCGCGTTTAGCGATGTTGCTGCTTCTGCTAATGACAAAATCTCAAGAATGGCTTCTTTTATGGATATTTGAACTCTTCTATTGATAGAAGCCTACACAATGCGTGCGAAAGATCTCTCACTCACTTCATTTATGTTAGATGGACTGCTCCGTTTTTGCAGAAGTTGCCCTCCTCGTCACGCTAAAAAATCGACATTCATCTAGTTGACGTACTTGAAACTCTGTCTCTCGAGCAATTTCCATTCTAACACATTTTATTCTCTCGTTATTGCTTAACGGATCTCGATTATGTTTGTCCAAGAGAGCTTGCCGTTCAACGTAAAATGTTATTTCTTGGAGTCCAAATGCATCTTGATGCCTTCCTATATTTATCGTGTGTTGTGAAAGTCATTTTTCTTTGGGGCTCAAAAGTTAGAGCGCATTCCCAAACCACAAATTCAAGTGTCACAATAAAAAGTCTTCACAATCAATCGGCTCCTTGCTGTGTTATCATCCCTGTTATTGATGTACCATTTGAAGTTTTCACTCTTGTTCAAAACATACGACGTGGGAAGTTTCAAGTGATTGACTCACTCAGTATAACCGTTCAACGTCAACTTATGGTGGATCACTGTAAATGTTAAATGATTTTCCGAACTGTTCCTTCAGCAAAGCTTATTTTCATTCGTTTGACGTGAAAATCATTCACGTCTCATTTCGTTTCACAAGGGCGCAACGCAGCTATATGCCCCCCCATTACTGCCTTGGGCTATTGCTCAACTACTCGCTTCGGTGTCGTTGAAAACGAGCGTCCTTTCTCGTGTCTGTCTTGGCCATAATCGCTTTTTCCTTGTGGTCGCACAGGCTGATGTGGGGTGCAGTACGGATGTACCAAGCTGTGTGATGCTGGTAAACCACGGTGGGCCCTGTGTTTCCTCAGCCCAGTCTCTAACTGATAGTTTTGATTGTATTATGTGTCAATTACTTTCGGGGGTAACCTGGTCCTCGTGACATTTGGCCACTCGCTGAGGCGTCTTCCTTTTTACAACTCACACGACATGCTTATTACGAGGGTTAAATCATGTGGCCAGAATCCTTGAACTGCAAAACGAGTTGTCAGATTATAGAAACACCAGACTTTCCACTTCATATCACCTTTCTTCTACTTTTTATTTCAATCTGCTGTTTATGCCCTGTTAGAGGTTACGCTAGTCTGATGACATGTGTGATTGCGGTCACTCAAACTTGGTGTGTAATTGGTGGCTATGTCAAGAAGTACACAATTCGTTATCGTCATAGCAGTAGGTTTGCCACAATTTTGGTGTTTATTGTAGAGTCTCGGTGGGAGCCGCTAAGAATGACGTCGCCAAATTCTCAACTGAGTTGGATGTACGAGGTAGCTGCTGATGTCGTCCGGGAAGGTACCGCTACCCAGCTTACAACATTTTTGCTGAAAGCCGAACTATTGGATAAGCGTTAATGAAGGGTTCAACTGGTGACCGTTATAATCATAATCAGCAACTTATCAGTGTTCAACACCCACGCTTCTAGGCTACACAACCATGATTTATTTGACAGCCTTATTACGAAGAAAAGAATAAAGGCGGAAGAGGAATGGATTTAGTACGAGCCTACCACAGTCATTTCGAGGTGCCTACACCTCAAGACACTTGGCAATCTGGATAGGAACTGACAACAAGAACATTGACATCGATTATCAGCCATATCTTGCAGCGCTCCCAACTAGGCGCAGTGGGGGTTCACGCGATTCCAATTCCGAAAGGCGAATAGCAACGACAGCACCTGATGAGCCCCAAGAATGGCGAAACCGGTCGTGAGCTGTCGAAGAATTTTCAGCGACCTTATGAGTAGTATATTACGTCTAAACCAACACTTTTAAAGGGTGAGACCAAACCAGGGGATCTAAGCATCAGTAAATGGTTCTAGCCCGCAAAAGCTAATCGCCTTCTGACGACTTATTAGTCCTATGGTGATAACTTACTTCACATATTCTATTCATTCAGAGTACGAATACAGTCTTTCCGCTTCGATAATATAGCTGTAGGGGCTCCAAGATTTCTTATTGTGGAGAGGTGACCAGTACAAACTGCCCCCCATGCACTATGTACTGGGTTGATCTGTTTTCATTTGGATCCCGTATGTCTTCCAACAAAGTTCACGAGGATAGGATAAAATGTTACATTTCACCTGAAGTGAACATTCCAACTGACGATGTTATGTGTATCCGAGGCTAAATTCTCACACCACTTATGTGGTGTGCCTGTGACAGACCCTTTGAGGTTATAGAAAACTAGTTAATTCAATCCATTCGCTTAGGGGAGTTCCACTAGAGGGATGTAAGCCAGGCGTTTCAGACTGCTACTCAGTATTCAACCGGCTAATAATCCAGGTCTTCCAAGTTAATCAATTGCAGTCACGTGCTTGTCTCGCTGATACGATCTTGTCTAACATTCTCACGTTTGGTTATGCACACCAGGAATCTAAATGATTGGTGGTATATAAGACGTTCCACCCAAAGAGGAGTTTATTTCCCAAACTCATCTGGTTCCGGGAATTTTTTTCCCAGAACACCAGTTGGACACTACACAGTTAATTGGCGCCTAACTAGAGAATACACATAACAGATTAACCTAAGTGTAATCCATTAGTGACTGATTCCGGATGAGTGATCATCGAGTTGAGTGCACCGGCGGTTTGCGCGGGCCAGTGAACGGGTAAGAGGATTAATGCGTACATGTTTAACCATATACTTGTGTACCATAAGTGCGGCGGAAATTACGCCACCAAGGAGCGCACAGAGAAAACACTGCAATGCTACCTCTCTGAGTCTGTTAACGGCTTGAATAAGGGTTAATCCGCCTTGTCCTGCAGGTAGAGTGTATTCTGTTAGTATGGGTATCATCATCATCATCATCATCGACAGCATGACATCAGTGTTCAACCCCGATGTTTCGCTGCCGTGCAACCATGAAAACCTTATTGTGAAGAAAAGAATAAAGGCGGACAGGGGGAAGGGAGTTGGTGCTTTCGAACTCAAATGAAATGCCTCATGGTACGGAAGATCCTCCAGCACAGGTTTTGGGGGACAAGTACTGAATAAGATAGAACTGTGCCAGATCGATAACGCTTAGCACCCATCTCCAGTTAGTGATTTGGTTTTTAATAATTTTCTGCCAATTAAACAAGTCCGCATTTTCAACTGAAATTCATTTTATTAACAACGGTCGTTTCAGTAATTTATATCAAGTGTTTTCGCTGCAGTGCAGTGACACCATAATGCGTCTTTCGCAAGCTTCACGCGTCTGATATGGTTTACACTATTGTTGTAACTTCTTGATTCACAGTTATACAATATATGTCAATGGATCGCGAGCTTCTTGTCAAGTTGTTTTACCTTGCTTTCTTTTTTTCCATCCAGGAGTCTCAATCTGCCGAAATCTTGAATCATTGTGATACAAGTCTGGGCCCTTCCCCATATGACATTCGGATGGAAAACGTGTTTTTTGGTGCCGATTTTCCTCAGTCACTCCAGTCTTTTGATCAGGAGAACGATACACCTGAATCTGGTCTCACGCAACGCCGCAATCACGGTCACCGTTTCAACTCGTCCGGGTCTTGTGTGTCCACCCCTCCAAACAGTGCTGCGTATCTTCGACAACCTCAGCCATTAGCACCCAAATCTCAGCAGTGTTCTACAGATGTGAAGAACTGTAGTGCTGTTAATCCGACAATGGGACGCAAATTGACTCCATCCAGAACTCATCTAGCCATGCGCCGCAAACTCGTTTTGGAGTTATTTCAAGAGCATGGTCTGTTTCCATCCGGTTCGTCTCTGCTTGTGTATCGTCATCTGTGTATTGGAACGTTCCGTGAACATGTCAACAGTCACCTGATCGACAACCAGTTTAACGCGGACTGTTATTGTAGGCCGTCTTTGGGGAGGGTTGCTGTTTATAGTAAAATCCCTCAATAAGACTATCACAATCTGCAGTAATGCTTCATGAGTTTGCCGTCCCAGTTCTCCAGAACAAAGGACACTGATTCTCGTGCCTGTTCCTCTTAACGGTAGCTGTCGTTGCTTGGCCTTTAGTGAATACTATTCTTGCCTTAGATCCCGGCTTTTGCTAGTAATGAGCTCCAGATAGCTCAGTGCTTAAGGCACGAACTGATTGACTGAAAGTTCCATGGTTCGAAGTCAGCCTCAAAAACTCCAACGCCCCTGTCTAGGCTTGAGTGACCTGGTAGATTCCCATATCTCGTGGCTCTTCCAGGTGGCGTAGCAGATATGCACTGAAAGGGTGTTGCGCCGGAACGATTGCACGATAAAAACAGCTTTCAACGGAAGTTTTGTTCCGGTGCGTGGATCGTAACGTCATATTTACCGGGTTTACCGTAATCTTCTGTCAATGCGTAAAATCCAAGTTCCCGAGGCAGGAAAGGCTTCGTCCGCATGTGTATGCCCACCTTGGCTGACTGGAATGCCCGTTATTTCACTAACCACTCCGATAACAAGTCCAAGCGATTGCTCTGGTAATCTGATCCTGTCAGCCTGTGCAACTACTTAGTTTAATTAGTTGATGCGGAGAACTTCGTTAACGGTAACGGAAGTTAGGTAACTAGTTTGCTCATTTTTCATCGCATGATTAAGTTACTTTTAGTAAAGAGGCAGTAGCAGCGTAAATACGTAACAATGATGATAATGCTTACGGATCTAAAACCCCACCGTATATATCCGAGTCTACGCTCTTGCTCCCCTCCAGCTAGTTTGTTTCGTTCACACCATCCCAGAACTGTTGCGCCCAATTGCCGAACTCAAGCACTTTACATGTAGATCGAGCCAAACAAGCTTCGCTGCAATTTTTTAGAACCTACAAGCTAATTACAACGCATACATCCTGGTATCATTAGTTATCTGGGTTAAAGAGCGTTGCTTGGTTGAGGGAACGATTTTAGTCTTTCCTTTCGGGTATTCCTTTGTTTCGGACTCCTCTATCATTGGGGTCCGATTACATCTGTCATAGCCCCACGTTAACTATACATATTATTAACGTCCCTCCTATTTTTGCTCCACTCGCCGACCATGCAGTATCAACTACCACCAATTTCCAGCAACGCCATCTGACCCACTTCCCAAACAGACAAACGTTGCAGCTAAAAATCCGTGAAATGCGCCAAAGAATTATGCAATCGACCAGTCAACACTTTACGAATCAACCTTGCCGTCGTCATGTATTCTCACGGTGCGCTGACTTAGCTGAGGTCGGACAACCAGGTCAATGTAGCTAACTACTTGGTACCCGACCGTGTTTTCAGCCTTTATGTTGTACTTACCAACGCTAGTCGTTGTCTGCCTACCCAGTTCACTCCAAGCCATCGCAATCTCCAGAAACTAGCATTTCTCGATTGCTCGTCAATCCTTTCTTTCCTTTGCTTGTTTTTTTTTAATTCTGATCCACGATTCGGCGCACGTCAGTCTTCAACGCTACCCGTCTTTTTCCTAGTATTTTCGCCTCGACCACGTCTTTCTATGTTTACCGTGGTTGATGGACTGGTATTTTCTCATCTGTCCTACTCATCATCGTTCATCCCAGTGGCATGTATGCTTATGTCAACCGGTTAGTTTTTATTGCCCTGTTTTTATCTATTTCAGTGCTTTTTATTCTATATTGTCAATAACTTTTGCTCTTGGTCACAATATTCACTTGTTTTGGCGCATTATGTTTTCAAAGTAGCCCCAGGTGAAGATGTGAACTACGAGATATAAAAGTACCACAGGGTGCAGTAAGGAGACTATCACTAATTGCCTTGTATTCTTAATGAACCGAGCATATAGAAAATATGGTTGGATCTCGGAAAAGTCGGTTCCATGGTCCTCATTAAAATTCATCATGGGTAGGGGGGAATCACCTTTTATTTGGTGATTCGCGACTTCTGACCGCAGTGTCGCGTACCCACCGACCAGTACTGTATACCCGGTTTCGTCAGATTCTGTTTCATCATCTGTCTGATTCTTGCACTAGTAAACAAGGCTTATGTTATAAACCATTTTAAAATGCAAATTCAGTGATGCTAGTGACCATATTTCGGGTTCGCAACTCTAAGGTTGCTAGCCCATGCCATAAGTCAGCAGCCGACGAATGACATGAGTTCAATGTTGCGTGTTTTGAAGCACTGGCTACAGACGTTGAACAATACGCGGTTCATCGATGTCTTATTGTGAACAAGAAAGAAGACGTAAGTTGATGGAAATGGCATTGGGTGAAGAGCGGATCACACAGGGTTGAACCGGCGCACTGGCCGATTCTTCTGGGGATCTAAAAAGGAGTGAGGTGATGAAAGAAGATTTCTATATGTAATGCCTTACTGAATAAAAATTGCATCTGAAGTAATACCCACTAGTTTTGGTCGTTTTTAATTCATTTTAGATAAAAATTGTTGATGTCATTTGGAAGGCATCAAGTGTCATGTATCATCAATGAACAGCTAACTTACGAATGACAGTTTGTCGAAGGTAACGCATACGTGAAATGGTATACTGAAGCTTTCCGCATTTTTACCTATTTTCACATCTTTCGGAAAAACACCAATACTCCACGTATTTATTCAACAAAGTATGGAGGGATGTACCAGTGCCGAGTATCCTAATGTTACGGTCTGAACGGGCACAATAAGCTGCTATACACGACGTGAGAATGCGCTCCCAAATCCCCAGCTTCGGCGCGAGCCCAACCACTCGTATCACAGAAGGAAGAAGAGGACCGGACTTTCGGAGTAGAGGTTTTTGAGGCCTCAACCAAATGCAACGTACAACGTGAACAGTACCGAATATGTATGTTTTGGACGACCTTGGATAGCAATAGATGCATTAGCAAACAAAGTCCAATTAGCCAGCTGGGGAGACGCGCGGTCTCTTGGAGAATTTCCAAGATGCACGAAAAATTGAAATTAAAATTTTCGCAAAACAAATTGGATGTAATTCAACAAACAAATGGTTTTTAGGGATTATGATATCCCTAACACTTCCGTGAGCTGCAACGTCGCTGTACGTTTTTCTGTTGTTGACGGCCGGCTGGTGTCGCTGTTCCGTTCTGGCTTTCGGGGTTCTTTCAGGGTTGTTTTAAAGGAGACTAGCTGAACTGTTCTTTGAAGTGCTCAACCCACCGCTCAAGTCAGCGATTGAGGGAGTGAATTGCTTATCGCCTCACTGACACCTGCCTTCTTTTGACCCGGTGATTGGATCGGTTGGAACAGGGCGCGGCTGTTGCCTGCAGCGAAAGCCCTCTCCATCTCCTGGGCCTTCAAAATCTACTTGCGTTCTCTGTCATTCTTGAAGCTCCTGATTATCCGGTGTTTGAGGGTTCTGCGTACGCCAACATAGTCGCTAGTTGCTGGTATGGCCTTTCTGGCAGCAATAAGATCTACTGATTTTGAAGCGTTTATTGAGTCAGATGGGCTGGGCAAACAATTCTGAAAGCTGAGAGCATTGCTTCTTTGACTTGCCCCCATTCATCCTTCAAGCAATCTTCGTCGTTCACGTGACTGTATGTTGCCAATAGCTTTCTGGCCAGATCAGCTCGATATTCTTCAGCCACTGCAACTTGTCGAAGTTGATGAACGGAGCTGCTTTCTTTCTGCACGCGTAGTGCTGGCAGAAAGCGAAGCGCCAAGCGGTCCCGCACGATGGCGTGCTCAGAGTCAAGTTGCGTACCCATCTCCATCGGTGACTGATAGCCATTTGGTCCAAGTGAGCCCATGATTGTTTTGTGGTAGGTAGCCTCCAAGTAAATCGGTTTGTGGTGGAAGTTCGTACTGTAAGTTGGATTCGAACCACAGACCTTCTCGTCAATAATTTCGCACTTAAAGTACTTCCAGCAGATTTAAAGAAATAGACTGTCCTCAAAGATAATGTTGTTCATATAGACAATTGATTGCCGGAAACAGTCTGTCGCGCACCGGCGAGTGATACCCGAATCACGTGAAAAATGCCCTCGTACGACGAATTCCAAACTAAAAGGTTTTCAAATAGTATCAGTTCCTGAAAGTAACCTCAGAAAGCCATGAAGCTACTGAGACCCTAAAACTCCACCAAAATCTCAATAGAAAAGCCAGCATGCATCCAGGCCAGTCAATCATTCAATCAATTTAGTAAAAGCCGACGGGTGTCGATGCACGCCACAGAAGCACGACCGAATGTGATCAGCGTTCAGGCTTTTCATAGAGGCACGATCGATGTTGATGGGTGTTCATTAAGGCCTATCAGACAGCCTGGATCAATGTCAGAAAGTCCCCTTTGAATAGCGTGGGGCCGTTGTAACTTTTGCTCACGCGCTCTCGCACTCACTCGCTTGTTCGGAATACAGCTGTTATGTTCCCTTCTGTGAGTCTTTTCTGTCCGACACTAGGCACTGGAGCGGGTCAGCAGCAGATACCACAGATTGACGAATCAGCAGATATAACAGTAAGGTTTCAGCAAGTTTCAGCCTGTTGCCCAATTTGACATGGAGTACCTGCATTAAAGACTGTAACGTGGATCAAAATTGTTGAGGTTGGTAGGTAATTATTTTGGTTTATTTTTCTGGGCGATTGTTGAGACATGGAACAACGGCTAGCGGGTTGAAATATGGGTTGATTGCACTTCATTGTACAATTGGTTGGGAGGGAATCATGGGGAAGACCAGTGGGCGAAGATCTGCAAGGGTAAATGATACTTCTCGGTTGCCCAGGCCGAAGAGGGTTGAGTCGAGGTACCCCACCTTGAGCCTTTGACTCAAAAGTTTGACCCACAAGGAAGCGGGAGTATGTACGGTTTTGTTCGGGGACCCTGCTCCTAGCCTCTGACTAAACAGTGTGGACCGCCAGACAGAGGTTGTTAGGGTTTTCTTCGAGGACTTTTCGGAGCCAATGACTCAATAGTCTGACATACTGGGCTGTAAGGTACCGGGCTGACCCCAAGGCGCAGGCCGTCTCACTCCCGATGCGGCTGCGCACAGCAGATGCCTTTTGAGCAGCACCTGGCGCTTTGGTTTTGAAGGTATTTCAACCGTATTGAATAATGCGCCGGCGGTCACGGTCAGCCGTTGGGCGATCGGAGTGTGCGGTTTTTGGGGCCGACCTTTTCCATCCCGTCCTTCCTCGTTGAAAAGCAGCATCGCTGCTTCCGTAAACATGGACATGCTGGTCGCCTGGGGGAAGCATCTTACTGTCTTCACACTTATCGTGGAGGACAGTGCGATTTTAGCCCAGACTGCCTCGTAGCACGACTACTCATAGTACGGGGTCTCGCTGCTCCCCTTTGGCTTTCCTAGCATGGTTGCACCTTGTGGAACGAAATTCTAACCAATTTAGCCCGCGGGATCATTGCAGCACTCAGGCCCGACCACCATGATGGGGGGACAGTTTTAGGTCTGGACTGAATACACCTACCCTGCGCGATTTAGATTGCGATGTGACTGCGCCACACTCCGTGAATTTCATGCATTCATCACTCTCAGTGCGAAAATACAAGTCCACTAATTTGGGTGTTGTAAACCGATTTTTGACTGACACCAAAATCTGAAGGGAATCACCTGTGTACAACATCCGTTTCGCAAGTGTTAAGGTATTCTGCAAACACCACAGACCGTGAACTTCATTGTTTTTGAATTTTTAGATGTGATTCTTGTTAAAGATGTTCCGTCCATTACTTTCGAAAGTTCATCCTTTCACATTTGTGTCGCATGCCACCAAGTCATTTTTCCGATCGTTTCTGGTACCACTGAGTGAACCAGTGTGGGACCATGTGCTGTATACCATGGTACAAAGACTCAACCATTGATCAAAGCAGGATTCTCAGGAGCGTTTCTGAACCTATGGGGTTTTTATATTGCAAAATTTGAAACAGTTAAGTAGTGGTAACAAGCTCACCTCACATGTCAGATGTGCGGAGTTCAACCCCCACATGGCCAGGTGTATGCACTGCTGAGGAGCTCTGATAAGAACAAAACTCGAGTCCAGTGCTTCTCATCCTTGGTGTGGACTCACCAGACTGATTGCGTCAGGACAGGCGAAAGTCTTAACGAGAGCGAGTGTGCATCTACAAAATCCCTCAGCCGGTAACACCTGCAACTTTTTTGTTTGGACTTCAGGTGATTCAGTCGATGATATATCAAGCGATTTGTGTAGGGCCCATGAAGAAAATCGTATGGGTGATGTAGAATATAGGTATTCCGGGTGCGCTTCTTGGACACGATTGTTTCTACTTAATGGGGAATTATACATCTCCAGGAGGAGCACTACTCACATAGCTGCTGAAAACTCTTCGACAGCCCACTACAGCTTTCGCCCATCTTAGAGCTCGTTAGCTTGTCGCTAAATACATTCGTGTGCACAACGATTTCGTTTTAACGGAATAAATCCCAGCTGAATCCCTAGCTTATGATACTCTTCAAGAGGGATTAGGGTTGACATAAACTCGATAACTATGGATATCAAATGATCCTCAGGAAGGGTTAAAACGGTCTTGGGCTATCCGAGAGTTTTCGGCAAACTTCTGGGTAGATCTTCCTTCAAGCAAATGTGCTGCTATATCTTGAATATCGTACCGATAATCGGAATTATCCGACTGTTCACTTGGCGATTGTCTATTTCTTACCGACCGAGTAACTGCGTCAGCTGTATCTTGATCAAAGCTATCATTCAAATGAAGTGACTTTATGGTGTGTCCGCTATT